AAATGTGTTAAATATTACAAATGTGTATAATGCTTTAAAGTCTCTTCAGAATAAAGCAAGCAGTGATCGCTTTAGTTTAACACAAGATTTCTGTTCAAATGCTCCCAGAAGATCCCGGTTTTTCCTAGCCAGGTTTTATCTACTGTATGTGGTGTGTCTGCGAAACATCATGAGTGAGTGTGAGATTGACAAACATTAATTAGTCTCACTGGAGGAGAGTTGTCAGACATCCACGAGCACAAAGAAGCAAATACAAAAGAATGGCTGTTAGAGGCATCTTTCATTTCCTCTGCTGATCAGAGACCAGTGTGTGTGAGCGTCTGTAGGCTTTCAGAAGAGGAGTGAGAATCACACTTTTGTTTGGATAAATGCCCGTATGATTACCAATTTTGATCTCCATCACTCTTAATAGCTCAACTGTATCTCCTAGACAGGTGTCGCTAGACGATGCTAAGTGGTCTGTGAAAAAGTTCAGTTAAAAAAAAATTTAATTTAAATTTACTGAATTTACAAACACACAAAAGTTATATTATAATTAATAATAATAACAACAATAGATTATGTTATTCTATTGACAGCGGTACCTTTGTTTCTTGAGGTTTTAAACATCTAAATGTACTCTGATGTAAATACAGTAAATGCAGTGTCAACTTGATAGAAACAGATACTTGTTTGCATATATTTATTGTTAGTTTTCTCAGTAGAAATGTATATTAAATACAAATGTATAAACAAGTCTCTTCTCTCACCAAGACTGCCTTTGCGTGCTCAAAAACACAGTAAAAATTGTGAAATATTATTACTATTTAAAATAACTGTTAATATATGTTAAAATGCAATTTATTGCCATGATCAAAACTGATCATTACTCCAGTCTTCAGTGTTACATGATCCTTCAGAAATCATTTTAATATAAGCTGATTTGCTGCTAAAGAAACATTTCTCATTTTTATCAGTGTTGAAAACATTTGTGCTGCCATGGAAATGTATACATTTTATTTTTAGAATGTTCAAAGAACAGCATTTATTTGAAATATAAATATTTTGTAACATGATAAATGTCTTTATTGTCACTGTCACCGGACCCTATTAAAAATCAACAAACTTATTAAAAAAACACATTGCACCATTCAATAAAACCTTTGAATGGTGTAATTTATATTTCTAATAACAGTTAATTGGTGCGCTGTGTGACTCACATCTAAATCATGATTGTGAATCTGTGTTGTGAGGTGCATTTTCACTGCAAACGGCTTTATTTTGATTTCCGTGTCTCGTGTTGGCATCTGCTGACGCACCTTCTATATTTAATATGGAAACTGCGTGCTGAAGGAAACAATCCAGTCATGTTAATAATTTGCAGCAATCCTCAATGGTGTTTACAGAAACGCAGACCTCCCATAATCCATCGCTGTCCACCTCAGTCCGTTTGGGTCAAACAATGTCCACCGCGGTGCCTGATCACTTGCCCCTGCTATTTTTGTTCCTGTACTTTCAAGATACAATTGTTTTCCTTTTGCTCATTTTTTTTCTCAAGAGCACTTTTTTCAGGGCTTTGCTGATGCATAACAGCTTCCCGTTATTCTTCGGCTCTGCTCTCGACCCGGGTCGGCTCCAGGATCCCAGACTCGGCTCTCGGCCAGCGTGACCGGAGCGCTGCCAGACAGTGACATCAATGAAGCCTGAAGCTCCGCCCACTGTGGCTCAACCTGCTTCACTCCGCCCCCTGTTTCTCTGTGTGTGTGTGTGTGTGTGTGTGTGTGTGTGTGTGTGTGTGTGCGTGTGTGTGTTGTGCTTTAAAGGGATAGTTAATGGTATACAAAAATGACAATTCTGTCACACTTTACTAAGAAACTCATATGGGTTTGAAAGAACATTAGGGAGAGTAAATTATCGGTGACCTATAAACTGAGGACAATGATGTCAGTGACACAGTTCAGACATTAAACTGTGTTTGTTTTGATGAAACGCATCTGCCTGTAAGAAGAAGACCAGAGAGGAACTGGGAGGAAAGAGAAGCTGATATGCGCTTGTGAAAAAGATGTACACTTTAGCATGGCTTTAAAAAGAGTTCTTGTTATGGAAATAATAAACTTTACAAGAATATACTTAAGTGTGAACTGAATGTAATGTTTTCAGACACTTAATTGCAATTAAATAAAAATGTATATAGTTTACTTACTAAATGCAATTAGCTGAACTAAGCAGGACTTAAGTATATCTTTATATGTAATTTCATAATTACTTCTATTGTCTTGAAATGTGGTTATTCAACATTACACTTACAGTTAATATATTTTAAATGTACTCATTTGCAATTTCATTATTATTATAAAGGAGTAATTGCAAACATATTTAAATACATGGCATACAAGTTTCAATAGAAATGACATTAAAGTATATTTTAGTTTATCATAAATGCTTGTCAGTACATTATAATCAAGTACTTTACATGTGCTTCAGTATGTTAGTCAACACAACAATAAGTGTACTTTGAATCAGGATAAAATATTAATAAACAATTGTTTAAAATGTACTTTAAAACTTAAATTGACAAAATTCCAAAGTGCACTTTTTAAAGGATTTATTTATGTATTTATTTATTTATTTAAAGTTGTACATAAAAGAAAGAATATTGGAGTGTGTTTTACAATAAAATTGCAATAAAAACTTTAAGTTTTACAGTTTTTCAGTGTGTTACTTTGTAATTTTTCTTTGATTCTTTGTCATTTTCCGTTTAATTTTCTGAGTGAAAATGGTTTCTATACCAACATACTACTTGTAAAAAGTTTGGAAACATTATGATTTTTAAATGTTTCAAAAAAAGAAGTCTCTTCTGTTCACCAATGCTGCATTTTTAATCATAAAAAAGTTAAATATTATTACAATTTAAAATAGTTGTTCACTATGTTGTTCACTATGTGACTACATGTTCAAATGTAATTTATTATTTATTTTTGTATTTATTTTATCAGCATCATTACTTCAGTCTTCAATGTCACATGATCCTTCAGAAATCCAAACTTTTGACAAGTACTGTATGGAGCAGAGTTTTAATAAATATATACCTTTAGAATCTGAAGTACACTAAGCGACCTTCTTTTTCATAAGGTTTGGCCTACTTTATCTCACAAACCTGTTTCAGTCAGTTTTGCTGGTTTGCAGAGCCATTATCAGCCGGTTTAAAAATGCAGCATGTTTGAACCAAGCATAAAATGGCCTGCTTTCATCACTGAAAACACAAAAGCGGCACACACTCTCTGCGCTCTGGACCGGCTTTCTGCAAAATTCCTCTAGAGGACAAATAATGGACCCAAATGAGTCTATAGCTGCTTCTCGAATCAGCACTGCAGAACAGAAGAGATGTTTGTCTTTCTCCTGCAAACTATGTGAAAACTCAACATGTTGTGAATTCCCTGCTGAAGTGAAAGGACAGGACATTTTCACAGCTCTCACGGCCTGTGATTCATTCACTCATCCAGCACAGATGAAGAAACATCCACATCTCCAGTGTAATCATCCTAAAATCACTCTCAGCATCCTCACGCTGTGAAGCATTTACTCCCAAGCTGCCAGATGCTGATAATTAATCATCTAATCGACACGAGTGCCTTTAAAGAGTAAACGAAAACAAAAAACCTGACGCTGATGCACAAATCCACTCTGCTTTGGCCGGGACGGGTGAGTGTTGCGTCATCACTAATGGTCTGTGTTGGTCTTTCTCAACCACACGTGGAGAAACCAAACTGACCTCCAGCCAACTGACGCATTTCTGCTCAAATCAGATGGATCGACTGTAACATGGGAAATCCCGGAGTGCCAGTCATCTGGTACTCATTGTGCTGGTAGACTTACGCAAGCTAAGATTAAACGATGACTTTACAGTCTATTGGTGTTTTAACAAAGCTTCTCGATCACCAACAAGACTATCTTGGTAAGCCAACAACACCAGAAACTCAAAAGATCTTCACAAAAAAAAAAAAAAAAAAAAAAAGTGGTTTAACATGAAAAAAAATTGTGACATAAATATATTATTATTGTACAGAAGACTGTATTGTTATTATTGTATTATTATTATACTTCTCAAAGTAATAATAAATATATAAATAATTTGTAAAAAATAAAAAAAAATTTTAAAAAAAGGTCCCAATTTTACTTTGTTTTATTTTTAAAAGTTACCTTCTGTTGTGCAGCACTTTGTTCGCCAACAAATAAAAGGAATTGTTTAATTTTCTTTATTACATTTTAAAAGTTCAGTTGAATAGCTTATGTGTTATGCCTTCATTTAATCATAATTTGAATTAAATCATAATTCCAGAAAAATTACAACAGACAACACTTTAAAACAACATTTTTTTAAATAAGGTCCTATTAATGTAAAAATTAATAAACTATTACATTTTTTAAGTTTAAATAATTAAAATGTAATTAAACCATTAAAACAGAATCCAAAAAAGTTATTACTGAAAACACAGAATTTGCGACGAATAAAATAAAATTGTAAAAATTCTTTGAAAAATATATTTTGGTTAAACTATTACTAAATTGCTGTTAAATTGTATAACTTTCATTATTTCAATTATTAGACATGCTTTTTGATTACTACAATTTAAATTAACCATTTAAGTAGAATCCACACACAAAAGCAATCCAGAAAAATTAAACGGGAAAAAAACTATTTGATTTTTTTTGTTTGTTTGTTTGTTTTTTTTTAATAAATGATTTTCATAAGGAGGCCCTAAAATGTAATTAAAATATAGTTAAACTTTTAATACATTCTTTTATATATATATATATATATATATACACTGTATATATATAATTTTTTTCTTTTTTTTCATAATTGTTTCATAATTAAACATGCTTTTTGATTACTAATTTTTTTATTCCATAAAAATGGAATCCTGAAAAAGTACAACAGAAAAAAAAAAATAAAAAATTCAACATTTCATAGAACCAAAGCACAAATTGATGAAGCTGCACAATACATGCTGACTTACAGGTGAGGACAGCAGCTTGAGGATGTGGACTTCTTTCCCATCCTGGCTGGTGAAGTCCGTCCAGCATCCCAGAGACATTTCCTGCAGGACGATCCAATCATTGCTGTTTCCGGGAACATCCTTCAGCTCACAGATCACACTGGAATCTAGAGAATAAAGAATAAAGCCAGTGAGTTATTGAAATCAGTTAATATGTTCTTCATCTGCATCCCTGGAGAATAATAATATCCTGCCAGCAGCTCATAAATTATCTCCAGAATAAAACATGTCCTTCCTTTGGAAGACACGGGTCAGGTGTCACTTCCTGAGCAGCAGAACTGAATCAGGCCCAATCGAGCTCATGTTAGCAGCAGACAGTACTGAAGCATCAGAGCCGTCTCCTGATCTCAGATCAGCACTAATATCATGGGCTGTAAACCAGACACACACTAGGATGCTGAAGCACGGCTATTGTCTTGCTCTATTGAAGTCATGGCTTTCACCATTTAATAGAAGGATGACAAATGTAGTGAATCTGATTATTTTGATTCAGATTCCACCTAATGACTCCAGTAAATGATTCTTGTTGTACTCTGATGCTTAAAATATTGAGATAAAAGTGCAAGTAGATTTAAAGTAATAATCAGAAATGCAAATCAGCATATTAGAATGATTTCTGAAGGATCATGTGACACTGGAGTGATGATGCTGAAAATGCAGCTTTGATCACAGCAGTAAATTAAATTTTAAAATATATTCACATTGAAAACAGCTATTTTAAATTGTAATAATATTTCACAATTTTTACTGTATTTTTGATCAAATAACTGCAGCATTGGTGAGCAGAAGAGACTTCTTTCAAAAACATTTAAAAAATCTAACCAATCCCAAACATTTGAACAACAGTGTATTATCTGTATCTAGTGCTCCAGGTAAACAAAACACTGCAGACACTGTCAGCTCGTTCACAAAGGACAGACAGAGTGGGAGGAAATACAGGAAGCTACAACAACTGTAAGGACAACAGGAAATGCCATGTTTAGACGTCAAGCTGATGGTGACGGCAGTCCAGGCTTTGTCTTAGCAAGTCGAGGCTTATCAAGGATGTAAGAACAGTTTGAATGGAGAAACGCTGTAAATACACTGCATATTCTTAAAGGATTAGTTCACCCAAAAATGAAAATTAGCCCATAAATTACTTACCCTCAAGTCATCCTAGGTGTATGACTTTCTTCTTTCAGACGAATCCAGTCAGAGTTATATTAAAAATTGTCTTTGATCTTTCAAGCTGTTTCATGGCACTCAGCGGGTGTTGCATGCTTCAGTCCACAACAAGTTAAATAAAAAGCGCCCATCCATAAAAGAAAAAGAAAAATGTCTCACACAGCTCCGGGGGTTGAACAAAGGCCTTCTGTAGTGAATCGATGTGTTTTTTTCTTATTAAACCATGTCGATTCGCTTCAAGAGGCCTTTATTGACCCCACGGAGCCGTGTGGCACACTTTTTATGATGCATGGATAGGCTTTATTGGACTTCTTTTGGACTATTGAAAAATAACATCCATTCACTGCCATTATAAAGCTTGGAAGAGCCAGGACATTTTTTATATAACTCCGATTGGATTCGTCTGAAAGAAGAAGGTCATATACACCTAGGATGACTTGAGGGTGAGTAATTAATGGGCTAATTTTCATTTTTGGGTGAACTAACTCTTTAATGAGCATCTTTGTCTTGATTTCCAGTAAAAATATCTAAACATACTTAAAACAAACACATGAACCTGCTAACTGCACACGATTGATTTGACGTAGAATGTATTTGTATACAGTGGGTACGGAAAGTATTCAGACCCCCTTCAAAATTAACAAATGATTTTAGCAAATGGCTGCAATATAACAAAGAGTGAAAAATTGAAGGGGGTCTGAATACTTTCCGTACCCACTGTATATGTATATTTGGTTCCACTGCTGCTTGTTTTATGACTTATCGTCTGATTACCATCCTTCTGTTTCCATATGCTTGGAAAGACACCCAAAAATGAAAAATGTGTCACCATTTACTCACCCTCATGTAGTTCCAAACCTGTATGAGTTTCTTTCTTCTGTCGAACACAAAAGATGTTCTGAAGAATACTGGTAACCAAAGAGCAGACAGTAGCCATTGACTCCCATAGTATTTTTATCCATACTATGGAAGTCAATGGCTGCCGTCAACTGATTGCTTATCATTCTTCATCAAAATATCATCTTTTGTGCTCAACACAAGAAAGAAACTCATACAAGTTTGGAACGCATGAGGGTGAGTAAATGATGACAGAACTACATTTTTGGGTGAACTATCCCTTTAATTTATGCCATATAAAACCACATACTTATCAAAGAATACTAGCTTTTAGCAGAGAAATCCATCCACATCGAACTGCTAACGAAACACACACATTTATCTTCATACATCCTCATTATATTGTTCTGATGGGATGTCAGAGAGACCGCCAGCGCTGACGTTCATAATGATGAGCAGCAGATGAATTATTTCTCCCAGCAGCCTTACATACATTAGTCAGACTCATGGGACGTAAACGCTGACCCGCAGAGATGACCCGGGAATGCCAAAGCTTTCACTAAGCGCTTCTGTGTTAAATGAGCTATAAGCCGCAGCTTTATCTCGTTTCATCTATGGCTCTTTCCCATGCAACCAAATGTTTAAGTCTGCGGACATCCAATCGGGCCAAATACTCTGAGCCAAGACACAAATAGTGCCCCGCCATCCATCACAGCGCTTTCACGGCAGCTCGTTTGTTATTTTCCCTGCCCTTGTATGTGCGAGAGAGAGGCTTCATTTTACATTTTGACCCTCGGGCCTTCATCTGAAGCAACAAACACAAGCGTGTGTCTCAGCCGACTAGGCGAATATCAGTGCGGCTTGCAGAGGAATCGCTTCAGCAGTAAGGCACCAACAGATGAGTTTCATTTCCAGCATTATAAGCGGTGAGAAGGTCACGCTGTGCTCAAACACGCTCGTGGGTTTCAATTTTTGGGAAAACGCTTCAAATCAATCAAAGTATCTGTCATGACGCTTGTCCAGACATCAGTGAAGAGCACCATCATACTGAGAACCCACAATCATTTATTTCCTCAAGTCAGGTGAAGATGGGAAATTGCCGGCCACAGGATACAATGCCGGTACTGGGCCATATGGACAAAAATAATAGCACAGTATGTTTTCTGTATCATAAAATATCATTATTTATCACAGTATTCATTCCTTACTGTTAATAGGAAAGGAAATGTATTGCACATGTTTGTTAGATCTTGAGAATGAATGTAAACAACTTGAATAATCGCCGCAGAATAAGCATCACTGAATCACTATTTCCTTGTTTATCACTGTAAAGCTACTTTGAAACGATCATCAAAAAGGGTGTCTAATGAAATGAATTCATAAAACTTTTTAATCAATCTTTAAAATGTAATCAAAATAAAAAAAATTATTTTGCATTTTTACTTTCTGTTAAATAAGATGTTGCACAACAGAACTTAAATGATGCATAAATTAAAACATCGATAAAAATATATTGGTTGTATGATATTCCTTAAAATAATAATAATAATAATAGATGTCATATTTTATATAGTAAATTGTATTATTATAATTATAATAATAATAATTATTATTATTATTATTATTATTATTATTATAAGTAATATATTTCTGTCACAATTTTACGTTTAACTGAACTTTTATTTTGGTGGGTTGTAGTGAAGAACTTTGAATTTCTGTTAATCTTTAGATAGTTTTTAGGGACATACAACTGATCGTCTAGATCAGGGGTGCCCAACCCTGTTCCTGGAGGTCTACCTTCCTGCATAGTTCAGTTCCAACCCTGATCAAATACACCTGTCTGTAATTATCAAGTGCTCCTTCAGATCCTAATTAGTTGGTTCAGTTGTGTTTGATCAGGGTTGGAGCTGAACTCTGCAGGAAGGTAGATCTCCAGGAACAGGGTTGGGCACCCCTGGTCTAGATGAAGGCTAAATATCGAAAATTAGGGATGCACCGATACCGATACTGGTATCGATATTAGGCCCAAAACTGCACTCCTGTAGGCCTACTTGTACTCATTAAAATGCTCCGATACCAAAAGCTGATACCACAGAGCGTGTGAATAGTGCTGTGTCCAGACAAAGATACACCAACAACAGAACAAAAAGGGCAAAATGGAAGTATTAAGAGATTAAGGATCTCTTTATTTATTACGAGTGATTCCCTTTCCCTGCATTATTACAGGAAAATTAAAGATGAAATACTATAATAATATGTAATAAAATGAACAGTGAAAGTAACTAAAGCTTGTACAGTACATTTTAATGAGCATAATTAAGTGTGACAATAACAGAAGGAAATATCTGTTTGCTAAATGAAGCCAGCTAACATGATTCATAATTTTGTTTTTGTTTTGTTTTTTTGGTTTCTGTAAATTACAAATGCAATGAGAGTACAGGTATCAGTATCGGCAAGTACCAAAAATAAAAATATCGGTATTGGAGTCGTTCAGGAAAAAGTGGTATCAGTACATCCCTATCGAAAAATACTCAAAAGGTTTATCATCAATATTGTGAACTTATTTTTATTTTTTTTATCACTATTGATTTATCACCCTAATAGTAAAACATATGATAATCTAAAGATATGTCTGGGAAATTCCCATATGGAAATACCAACTTCTCTGACTGGCGGGTCTCAAACATCTTGGGTTATGAAAGGAGCTATTGTTTCAAAAAAAAAAAAAAGAGAACCCCTGCTAGTAATTCATTAACTTGATGATGGCAGATTTCAAATGTACTTCTGTGGAATTGATTTAGTCTAGTCATATACAGTACAGTAGACCTCGCATTTGAGGATTTGGGAAATTTTGGGGAAAATTTGAGAACACAACTTTACAATTCCATCTACTGCTGCTCATGGCAAATAAATGACACGCTTCACCTTCAAATCACAGAGCAACAAAATTGATGACTGACAGGGAATTTTAAAGCTGATCTTGCTCAAGTCTGTGTGTCAACTATTCCTCACATAACAATTTCTTGTTTTTAAAGGTCATAAGAACAGCAGACATTGTACGAAAGCTGCAATGAGTCACTGCAAGAGCATCTCAGATAAAGCTGAT